GTTATTAACTTATATGTAAAATAAAAAAAAAAGAAAAAATTCACACTTTATATAAATGATAAAAAAGTTCGTGTCACACAAGGCGATAATTATGGAGAAGAAAAGTATTTTAATAATATAATAAAAAAAATCGCTTATAAAAAAAAATTTTTTTTTATTTTAAATATCATATTAGGCTCATTCATATATATTATATATGTATATATTTTTTGAATTGATTAAATTAAAAACAGTAATAACCATAATTATAATCATAAGAATTTTTCACTCAAGAAAGATCAAACGAAAACATTATTATAACATCATTGGTTCTTTAATGATAAAACAAACCATATATATATATAATAAAATAAACAGTATATTTTGATAATGAATTAAAAAAAATTTTTTTTATTATTTTAAATATACATGTATATATATACATATATTTTAAATTTTTTATTATGCAAGTGACAAAACGTAGAGCCCCTAAATTTTACAAAACACGTTGGGAAAAAATAGAATTGATGTGATATGTAAAAATAGTCATATATAAATCACCATCATACCATGAATCAACTACGCCGTCAGCAATATATTACGAAAATACGTGTTATCATTATATTGTTCTGAAATCGCGACGAGATTGTTTATTTTTAACTGATTAATTAATTAATTAATTAAATTAATTAATTGCTTACTTTGTTGTTATAATCACCATCACCATTAGAATTCTACCTAATATGTCAACATCCTTTATTTTTTTCTTCTTGCACTTATAAAGAAAGAAATGTAGCAATGTTGAGATCGTCTCGTTTTAAAAAATGGGCACATGTGCAGGCACACACACACCATTTACTTTTGCATAAGCTTATCCAAATTCGTACGATCTTAGTTCCTTTAAATAAATTCAAAACTAATCATATGAACTATTTTTTAAGAAAGAAAAGAACTTTGGACAATCAATTAAAATCAATCTCTTTATAATGCAACTTTATTTAGTCTATCATTTTATCAATTAAGTCGGGTGAAAACGTAAAAACCGGACTTTTGACTGTAATGGATTGGATTGGATCGGTAACGAGAAAAAGACAAGACAATTGATTGCAGCAATCAATTATTATTGTTATAATGATGGTGGCGGCGATGTTAGATAGTGACGATAATGGCGGTAGCGATTAGTATTATATGAAGATATTAAATAATTGGTAATTAAATTTTTATTCTTGGCATTACAAGTTTCCTTATAAAAATTTTTATTGTAATTATCAACTTTACCCTTACCAACCTAACTGTCACTATTTCAAGCATAGCAATTCTAAAATAACAACAACAACAAACAACAACAACAATAATATAAAACTAGTTTTCGAACAAAATAATTTATTATCTATTTAAAATTAGTTCGGGTTTGTTATCTTCTATTAGTAATATTATATAACCACCATTATAATTATTCCTTTTTACTATAACTACTATTTTAAAAAAAATAAATATTAAAAAAGAATATATATATTCCTATACGATAAATTTTTTAGCTCAATTTAGTATATTTTCGAATTATTATAAAATAACTTACGTAGTGGCACTATAAATTTAAATGTGTCATTATTCAATTCTTATATATACATGAAAGCATTTATACAACAACAATGCAGTGGCAAATAGGTTACAATACAAATAAAAACTAAACCGAAAGGAATTTTTTGTGCCGATCATGATGGCGCGCGCGCCACACACACACAAATAAGAAATTTTCCTTTCTCCATTCCATTCAAAAATAAACATTCCATATAAAAAGCGGAAAAAATAGTCGGTTGATTTTTTTCTATTTTTATTTTTTATCACATAAATATTTTTATTTTTTATACATTTAGAAAAATCATTTATTTTGCACTACTTGTAAAAATAAAATTCTCGTAAATAGTACACTCTGTTCAAGAAAAATTCCGAATTCATGTTTTTTTTAAAAAAAAAAAAAATCCATGTAATAAATAGCGTCGATTCCGAATTATTCATTTACCAGCCCTGAAATTGGCATCGTGATTTTGTTTTTCTTTGTCCACAAAGTTTAAATTAATATTAAACCTGCTTTGGAAAGCCATTACGTATTTCAAACAATCAAGGGGTGTGTTGTCGATCATTATTTATTTTCAATGACGAGCCCAGTAAAATAAATTCTTAGAATATAATAAACATTTAGAAAGAAAATAAAAACATTTCAGAAAAATTATAACTTTTAGGAGAAGTGAAATGAACAACAACGTTGAATGAGCGAATGAACTACCTTGATATGCAAAAATAGCAAAACATTGAAATTAAATTTATTTTTTTTAGAGCAAAATTGGAATTGATTATTCCCATAATAAATAAAAAATTGAGTTAATGTTCAACAAAATTGGGAATGATCTTCGAACTGCGCCAATTGAATTTTATTTACTGATCATCCTGACATTCTAACCAAAATGTCATATATTATTGTTATTATTATTATAATACAATAAACCATAGTAGTTCCATTATTATTTATTTACAAATAAATGAAGAATGTCTGTATTGTAGATCAACAAAATTTATTCATTATTATCAATGTATAAATAGTAAGTAATAATAGTCTATATTATTACAAATAAACACATACATATATATCTTTCTTGTAATTACAATAATGCGTTAGTAATCCTCGTTGATTGTGTGAATATTGTATTGTCCAGGAAATAATATTAATAAAAATTTGAACTATCTCCTTTGATCGGAGAAACGCATATACAATATAAAGTTTTAATTAGATTGTAGATATGTTGTCATCAAATAAGTTAACGTAAAATAGTTAACGTAAAATGGTTAACGTCATCGACTTTTGATTAAATTAAATCATATAACCTAAATTAAAAAAAGAATTTGTTTACTCTTTCCGGAAAACACTTAAATTAAATTAAATTGTCCGTTAAACTGCAACCACGTTGGACTTGTGTGTGGCTCAAAACAATACATGATATTATCATCGTCATCTTTCACTTTTTTACTTTGTGAAATTTTAAATTTTTTATTAATCACATTACTTGTCATCAGATTAATTAATTTTTAAAAAACTTTTGATGCATAAGCCTGCATGTGCATATATCTATCTATATCTAGAGCATATGCATGCACGTATCTATTTATTAAAAATTATTTATTTCACTACTTTAGTAACACAAACAAACAATATACGTACGTCGTGTTACTACGGTCGGTGATTAATTGACCATATATTACTATCACCTGATTTTAATTTTCGTAAACTCCGAAAAAATAAAAAGTGAAATTATTTGTTATTATGATTTTCATTTATTTCATTCGCTATTCAATGATGATACATGTTTTGCTTATTTATCGTCCGAAAAAAACAGAGATAATTACTTTATCGTAATTAGAAAGAATTGTAAACTTTTAATTAGATTAAATTAATCCAAGGAGTCTAAGGAGCTAGGTAAATAGAAAGAGAAAAATCAATTAGAGTTTAAATAAGGAATCCAATATAACTATATAATATAAATCAGATATAAATGATTTTTATGGTAAGTAATATGAATAAATAAATAAATAAATTAAGACTCTATATTAATATATAGAGATGATATTAGGCTATCAGGTGCTATACTATAAATGTCAAAAAATTTCATGTGACCTCCATTTTTTGTGATAATAATTAAGGTTGAATAATATTCTTTTGGTTTCCCAAAATGGATATGATATTCGCAAAAAAAATTTGCCTCCATAAATTCCAAAAGGGTTCTGTACCACAAATGACGATCAATTAATCACATAGCCAGAAAAGATGCAAGGGGGCTGACTGGTGGCTTCTTATGCGTTACCAAGTTTCAAAAAATGCAATTAATTAAAATAAACAAGAAATTGGCCAAAACTAGAATAGCAAAAAAAATTTCTTTTGAAGTCAAGTTTTAAAAGCAAAACAAAAAAATAAAAGAGGTTCGGTACCATATTGTTGTTTTTATTTTTTTTTCTAGAGAAAAATTTTGTTAATGTTTCAGGATTTATAATAATAACCCCATTAACTCCATTGTTTAATCTTAATCGAACCAATGCACACGCGGATAGGACAAGGCGCCTTTGTTGTAAGGCAGAAAACAATTAAAAAACAAATTCCTTCTTTTTCAAACCGATTGTCACCTAGATCATCACCGAAATTTTCCATTCCGGGCCCTGAATACAAAGATCTTTATGACCGTTTATAGTCGTATTCTTTGGTTATAAAAACTACAGATATTTTATTTCGTTCAAAAACACCATCAATTCGAATCAGTTTTCTTTTGATAAGAAAAACTCATTTCAGAAAAGAAAAAAAATTTACATTTTAAAAATAAACGATTAAAAATAGCTCGAGGCTATTATTTATTTTTATATCTTTCCTTTTTAAATTATTTTCAAAAGTCGTGCTTCATCGGCAATAACCAAATTTGCACAAATCACACATTACACACAAGTAAAAATAAAAAACACGATGCATTTCTCACAAAAAAACACTGCAGCTACCAAGAAATCTTCAGAAATAATAATATTCACTTTGGCCGTCTTTTTCATCATCTTTTTTTCTCATGTTGAACAAGTTTCAGCCCACGGTCGTATGATTCAACCACCAATTAGAATCAAGGCAGGTGACGAAAATCAAGGGTTCACAATAACCAACGGTCCAACAAAAGAAGAACCATGCGCGGGTAATCTAGCTGGACCCGTAAAATCCAAATTTAAATCTGGGGAAACCATTCCAATACAATGGAAAATCACTGCAGCTCATCGTGGCACATGCACTGTCCAACTTTCCGTAACCGGGCAAGATACCGATTTCAAGGATTTAAAGAAGTTTGATAATTGTGCTGATGCAACTGGTGATTTCTCTGACACAGTTGCCTTACCAAAAGGTGTATCGTGTGACAAGTGTACATTGCGTTGGAAATGGGATGCTGAGCTTACCAAGGAATTGTACTTGAATTGCGCTGATATTAGTATTGGTAAAGGTAGTAGTAATAAAGTGAAACGTAATGACGTACCTAAAATTCACAATAAAAAAAGAGTTGTTAAAAGTTCAGCTTCAAGAAGATTGGCTAAAAGAAAATTTTAAAAAAAAAACTAGATTAGTTATATAGGAAAGAAAATTTATGACTTGATCAATTCAGAAACAAAAAGAAAATTTTGTGGTCTTATCATGTTTGATGTGCCTATAATATCAATGAAATCAAAAAATAACAACGATGATCTTGCTAATAATAATAGTAATAATAATAATAATACAAGAGATATAAATCCATCATCCTATGAATCTTTGAATAATATCAGCGGTCCTCCAATAAATCATCATAATCCAATATTTATACAACATAATAATAATAATAACAATTCAGATTTCTCCACAACATCACAAGCACTGGCAGCCGGTGCTGCAGCTAGCGAAGAAGATTCCAATAATAATTATAATAATAATGGAAATAACAATAATGATGATAATGATCATTGCGATAACAATGGCGGTAAAATGACACAACAAAAAAGAACTCCAAGGCCACCAAATGCATTTATCTTATATAGAAGAGCTAAACAACCTGCAATAATTGCTGCTCAAAGACATCTAACTAATGCTGAAGTTTCACGTCAAATTTCTGATATGTGGAGAAATGAAACTGAAGAAGTCAGATTAAATTGGGAGAGATATGCAGATAGAAAAAAGCTCGAGCACATGCAGATTTATCCAAATTACGTTTATCGTCCCAACAAGAACAAATCAAAAGTTGATAAACGTCGTCAACGTAGACAAACTTCAATGTCCTCCGCAAAAGAATTGGCCAGCATCGAATCATCTTCTTCTTTAGTCAATACCAATGATGATAATAATAAATCTAATGTAGAAACTAATGTTAATAGTGGTAGCACTGGGCCCATGCGTAGAAAATCAAAAAATAACAAGGTTCCTATTAAAGTAGAAATAAATTCACAAATGACCTATGATATTATTAATGGATACAATATGCAATCACGACAATTTAGTGATTCCTCTTCATCCAATAACAATTATGCTTCATCTACACCTACTCCCACCACCGCCACACCTACAACTGCCTCCGCAATACTTCCAAGTCCTTTGTTAGCAAGCCAATATACTGATGTCCACAATCATCATCAACAGCAACAAGAATTCGTTCCATCACAAAACGCCTCCACTCACACCACACCTTTAACACCTATAACACCTCCAAGACAACAAGCTATTATTTGTAATAACGAATTTAAATTTCGTCAACAACCACAGCAGCTTCAACCACAGCATGATCGTCAATATCAAAATAACATGTTAACTTACGTCCCATCGAACGAAGGGGGCATTAATCATCCTCTTTCACTTCCAATTACATTTGCCCCCAATGCCTCATTCAATGGATTAACTACATTTCATCAAGCCTCTGAAGAATATCATCCTCATCAATCAATTGACCCATTACTTTGCTTCGTTCCCGATGTTGCACAACAACAACAGCAAATGCTAGCAGAAATGATGCTTCACGAACAACATCCTCATCAGCATCAGCATCATCAACACCACCAACATAACCCTGATTCATCCCCCGCCTCCACTGATATTCAATATTACGAAACGTCTACAACTGCTGTTGATGCTACAGTAAATGGAGTTCTTGGTAATCATCATTCATTTACTGATATGCTCGCGGGACTCGAGTTTCAAAATCATTATTTGACTAACGGTTCTGTGAATCATGGTAATAATGGTCTTGCTGCAAATCAACAACAATATCTTCATTAAACAAATCGGTTAATTAAATAAATATATATATTAATTATTTTTCAATAAAAAAAAAAGTGGGTATATTATTATTAAAAAAACAAAATAATTCTTTTTTCTTTTTCTTTTTCTTTTTTATTTATTTGTTATTATATTATAACTTGAATTGCGCTGATATTAGTATTGGTAAAGGTAGTAGTAATAAAGTGAAACGTAATGACGTACCTAAAATTCACAATAAAAAAAGAGTTGTTAAAAGTTCAGCTTCAAGAAGATTGGCTAAAAGAAAATTTTAAAAAAAAAACTAGATTAGTTATATAGGAAAGAAAATTTATGACTTGATCAATTTTGTAAAATTAAAATTTGTACTATTAGAAAAATTTTTTTTTTTGAAATGGGTTTTCTTATTCATTCACTCATTCATTCATTCATCATTCATCATTCATTCATTCACACATAATAAAAATAAAAATTTAAATTAATTTGCTATCGCAATTGTTTAATTATATTATTCTATTGAAATAATTTTATTCCCAATTTTAGATTACAAGGGGGTATCCTTGATATACAATAAATAAATAATAAATCATGTGATGAATTTTTTATATCAGTATAAGGAAATTATACGTACATGTGTAATAATATAATATATATATATTAATATTAATTTTTTTAGATCAATTAAGAAAATAAAATAATTCCTTGCATTAAATTTTATTTATTTATAACTCGCATAAACAAATAAATGAACAAATGAATAAACAAACAAGTAAAATGAATAAATGGATAGGTAAATGGGATATAAATGAGTAAATGACAAAATGTATTAATTAGGAAGACCTCGCTATCGGGGAGTCATACGTGTGTGAAAGATTAAGATTTATTAAAACTTTAATTCAAGTAAGTCATATCAGTCATATTATTATTTATCTAAACAATGATCAAACAATCGTATGAGAAGTACAAAACAGATTGAAACGCATACGTCTTGTAAATAAAAATAAATAAAAAATAATGAATATATGCATTGTATGTAAGAGTAATGCAAAGAAAAAAAAATAATTTAAACGACAATGATGATTACGGTGATAATGATAATGATAATGACTACTAAAACAGACAATATGATAATAACGGAAGCAACAGAGACGAAAATTGTTGTGTTTCAAAAACAAACAAACAAATAATTTTCTCTTGTTTTCCAATCTTGAAAAACAAGGAGATTTATATTCATTATAGTGTGTTTATAATAAACATATTCTAATACTCATAGTAATATTAGAATACTAACTAATTAATTAATTAATTAATTAATTAATTAATCAATCAGTTAATTAATCAATCAATTAATAATCTAGACCTAGACTTGAATCAGAAGTCACGAATTGTAAGTTGCAAATTGACGATATTTTATATTACTTTGTATTATCTTAATTTATTTATCTACATGATTGTGATGCTTCAATTATTAACATGATAATGATTTTATGATTATCATTATGATTATTATAATAACATAATAATAAATATTGTTGTACATGCAATTAATCAAGAATTATCCACATTTATTATCTTACTATTATCTCGCTGGTGTCTTGTAAATCATTATTATATTGTTCTTAAAGTAAAATGATGTTAAATCCTTTAATTTAGGTTTTTTTTTCTTTTCAGAATTCTCTAATATTTCTAATGCATATTTTTTCTTTTATATTCCAAAATTCTAATATAATATATATAGATCGAATTATTATTTATTATTTTGTCCTGTGACTCTTGACACGCAGAATAATTACAAATCGTTTAACCATTATTTATCTACAATATTAATCTATTTTTTACATTAAAATACATAAATAAAACTTTAATATCCACATCACGTGAATTGATTTATATAAATTTTAAAATTTGCACAGACCGTCATAAACTTTATTTGGGAAAAAATAAACTTAAATTAAAAATTCCCTAATTTGGGCAATTTTAATTTAACATATTTATTAACTAAGAATAAAATAACACATATATTGTTAATGATATTTATTATTAACAATATTATGCAAGGGGATCATTATGATATCCTTACTTAATTTAGTTTTAATTCAAATTTTTGAAATTCAAAAAACAAACACTCGCCATTATTATTACCATTATCACCCTACCGCTAAATAATGAATCATGACAAACATTCAATTGGAATTAGTAAAGAAACCAATTTTATATGTTACAAGTGTTACAATGCCAGTAAAATTTTATTTCGTAAAAGAATAGCAATTATTCCCTCATTGTTAAATTTAAATTTTCCTTTTTTTTTTTTAGGAAAAAAACTGTTTGGAAGATATTATTCATGTGAGATTAACAATTTTTGAAATATATATATATATATATATATATATATATAGATTTAGTGATATAATAAATAATTGAGAGAGAGAGAGAGAAAAGAATGGACAACCCCCCAAAATCTATTACTATCGGATGGGATAATGTCGGTACAAGGTTAACCCTCAGTCAATGTCACACGGTTTATTTTAAAAATATATATTATATTATTCCTGGATTACGTATACATACTGTTTGCTTATTCTAATGTTCTATTCAAAAATTTATGATGTAGATGAAATCTGGAAAATATTAATGATTTTAAACTTCTTTTGCATATCATAAATATTTGGACGGGATCCATTGAATTCAGAATAAATTAAAATGTTACAAATAAAATTTTTTTTTTTGGCGGGAAATATGGTTGTTTATTATTTATTATTTATCGTACACACATAATAAGATATAGTTTAAAAATTTTTATTCTCTATTCTTCAGACACTTTTCTCCTTCACACAAAAAAAAAAAAAAAAAACAAAAAAAAATCATTTTGCATCATAAAAAAATGGCTTTATTTTCTTCCTTGTCTTTTATTATTATTATTATTATTGTTGTTGTTGTTATTGTTTGTTTTTATTGTTTATTTCTTCTCCTCAATCATTAAACGTTTCATTCACAAGATTGATTGATTGACTGATTGTGTTTTGTAAATCTTAATTTAATTTTAAATTCAAGATTTTCACATTGAATACATGTAACCAATCAAAATAAAATTTTCCAATTTAAGGAAGATAAATAGTAGAATTTCATTTAAATATATTTAAATTAATAACTGCTTTAATGTTAGCTTGAATGGAGAAAAATTTAAATTTAAAAATAAGTAAATAAATAAATAAATAAACAAACTTGAATAAACTTGAATTCAATCTCAAAACTTCATGCGTGAAAAATATAATTGAATTAGGCAGGTAAGAAATTCCAATCAGAATTTTTAAAAACCATCAAATTTATTAATTTATTTTGAAACAAACAAGCTTTATTTTTTTTTTGGTTTTGACAATATTTACTATTATTTATTATATAACATAGCATACATATTTATTAATATTGATGATATAAATTTGTAGAAGAAGATGATGATCACATTTTTAAAATCAAATAATAATGCTACACAATTATCATAAAAAAAAAAAAATTCTATTAATAGAAATAAAACAATAATGATGCTTTATTCTTATTATTGGTGAGATAATAGCATAATTTTCGATCATATTTTTTTATTAAATTTGGAAAACATTAATATTATTAACATTAATAAATACACGTGAATGAATATATATATATGAAAAACATATATATTTAATCTCCAAATTAATAAAACAATATAGTTAATTTTGATTTTAATATTACACATGCGCAAAAATTCTAAACGTTATTTTGCGTAAATATGCACATTAATTACTAAAGGGTAAATAATAATAATAATAATATGAAAATAGATCATGCAGTTAACATCTTCTAGACTTCATTTTCCTGTGGCATCCAAGTTAATTGGATGATTTGTGCATATTTTATTAGCAATCGTTTTTCTAATGATATTAATCTTTAATAAATAACAACAATAAATAATAACATCATTATTATTCAACGCTAACGCGTGTGTTTCCTTTCTGTTTCTCTACTATTTAGAGTAAAATTTTTTTCATACACCATCGTTGCATCATCACTCATGAATCAAAAACATTCAGGTTGTGTTTATCAAATAAAAAAAAAATCAAACCCGCTTTATTATTTTTTTTTTTGCTGAGTTAGCTCTGAGTTAAAGAAAAATAATGCACAAAATATAATTGAAAACGGCAATGTTACATCTTTCCCTGCTTTATTTCCCCAATAATCATAACAAATAACTAAATAAAATGAATCTCGGATAATAATCATGTATTCCGTGCATTTTTCAAACCATTTTTCACATTCAAATTGTAATATTTTCCTACAATGGTTGACAACTAATATATATGTGGTGTGTTTGTTGTTTTGTCCATACAAAAATCATAAAACTGTTCCATCACATTTTATGTTTTCACGAGTGAAAGTTGATTTTGCAGGATAAAAAATATTTATAGTGTCTATTTTATTTACTTTACCTATTCATTTAACAGTTAATGAAACTTTCAAATTCTCTTTGATGAACTAATCCAAAAAACAGCCAAGAAGAAAGTAACTAAATTTTTACATTTGTGCATGCGACACATTTCATTAATAATTGTTTCAAAATCATCATAAATTTCGTACAAATCAAATTTTCATCTGATTACATTACGAATCAACATTTTTATTTTATTTGGTGAACCTGATTTTTTAAAATTGGCAGATCAACCAATCATGTATGTACAATATATATTTTTGATTGATATCACAAAGATTTTCGTGTCCAACGTTTCGTGATATTAATAAATGAAAATGTTACGAGACGCTGTGTAAAAATCATCAACGTATGCATGGTATCCCAGTTTATATTACCCTGGCAATTATTTTATTTTATTTTGGCTTGCCGCAATCTTTATTTGATGTTCCTTGGTGTTGGTTGGAGATTATAAATTTTTCATCATACATTTTATATAATCCTTGATTCGTTTGGGAGTCATGTCTATAGCTAATAGTCCGTCTGTTAAAAATGAATGAAATGATTCAATCTCATTCCCTTC